TTTTTTTGTTTTTTTTTTTTCCCGTTAAGCAATTTTCCAAATACTTCCCCTGGAACACTTTAACACTCGAGTTCAAAATATCTGCAGTGGACTTATGGGGTACAGAAAGAGAGGAGCCAAAGCTGGCGGCTGGTAACTGGGTGTGCCAGCAGCAACACCAGTGGGGCCCCAGGACACAAACCACATCGGGGTTTTAAAGGCGGTCTCCCCATAGCCACTCAGCCCTGTGGGTTTCGCTCCTCTCCTCCTAGGGCAGCTGGGTGCTCGAAAGGACTGCGGTGCCTGGCTGGAGGCACCAGCTTCCCTGGTGCAGGCACCCGGCAGTGCTGGGCACTGCGCTCGCCTTGCTTGGGTCATAGTTGGAAATAGGTGCTGGAAAGGATTATCTGAGCCTTCGCGGGAGGAATCTCCCCCATCCCCTTGCCAAAACTGTGGCCACGGTGGTGCTTGCCAGGCACTAAGTGTGGCTGACCCAGATCCAGACAAGTGTATTTTCTTGGCGAAAATGATTTGGGTCTTGAATTCCCTTCTTAGCACCACTTTTTCCCTGGGATGGCTGGGCAGAAGAGGAAAACGATACATGAGGTGACCGCAATGGTGGCAGCATGTTCGAGGGGGTTTTCAGAGGGAAGGGAAACAGAAACAAAGCAGCAGCGTCGTCAGGACTTCCCCTATGCCTTAATTTGGCGCGAAGAAACCCTTCTGGCTTGTCTGTTGACAGACAAATTGATGCTGTGCCTCCTTCTCCTACCATTCAGGACCCAGTTTTACTGAAATCTCAGCAGGTTCTGGCTGCAGACAGGCACCCTCCTGTGCCATCAGCACCTCGCACCTCTCCTGGGCTGGGGTCCACCCTGAGACACGGCTGCCCGTGTAGCTGTAAATCAGGGGGGGAGCCAGTGCTCCTGCAGGCGCCTGCCGGCACGCTGCCCCTACCCGGCTTTGACTTTGGCAAATGCTGAAGTTAACTTGACGAGGACGGGGAGGGTGCAAAGCAGCTCCTGCATCGCCTTCGGGTTAGAGCAGGTGGTCCTCAAAGGGCTGGCAATTTCTCACCCTGCCGTGGTCTTCGTGAGAGCATCATCCCATCAGCTGGAGGGCTCTCCCTGCCGGGGAGAAGGCTCTCCCCCTCAGCCCCACGAGGCATTTAGCCACCTCCAAGGCTGCTTCCCGGCTTTCGAGGTGGCTGTAGGAACCGTGGGCAGGTCCTGGTGAGTGTTGAGCACTTAGCAGTGCCCAAGCACGCAGAGTTGCTTCCTCCTCCCACGGCACCTCATGCTGTTTTACCGAGGGGGAAACCACAGGAACTGCTAAAGAACTTCGGGGTTTTAACGCCTCCTGCAGCCTCGTGAGGCCTCAGAGTGTTGGGTCTGAAAACCTGCACCTCCCTGGAGATGCTGTTCTAGCCCGCACTGGGTTTATCCATCATCTGGAGGGGAAAAGAGTGAGGGAAGTCAGTCGGGGGGGGGGGGGCAGACGGCCCTGCCCCCCCTGCCCC